GTCGAGCCAAAGATCACGACCTTTTGGGTAATATCCCCAAGCTGTATATGGAGCATTAAAATCGCCTCCTATTACAATGGAATCGGAACCAGCGATGTTGAGAGTGCTCTTAAAGAGGGTGCCAAACCTGTGTTTTTTGTGTTTAGGGTTACTGTATAGGTTAAGTACAAAGAGGCTAGCGTGTGTTTTGCAGTGTGATATGAGTTCAATTAGAATGTTATCCATGTGCCTAATTTTAGTATCGTGTTGTATAACAGTATGGTCTTTGCAGACTAGGGTTGTAAAGGTGGTGGTATCTCCAGTGGCACAGCCAATTGCGCGGTACCCTGCTAATTTGGCCAAACCATGCTACTCCTGTAAAATAATAATATCTGGCTTGTTCTTATCACGGGTATATTGGTTTAAAACAGCTTTCTTATTCGCGTAGTTTTGACAATTCCACTGCCAAATGTTGTACGCAGGTTGCTTAGCCATGGTGAGGAGTGGGGGTATAAATGTTGCCGGCTGAATCAGACCGGTGGGTGGCGAAATGGGTTGCGATGGTTGAGTTCTGGGCACCATTCCGTTCGATGACTGCGAGGAGGTCCACGAATCCACTGCTAGCGTTCTTTGGTCAAAGTGCTCATTTTGCTGTTGTATTAATTGAGTTAGCATATCTACACGATTGGTGAGAGTAGGTATAAGGCGAGACGTTGTGGTCATCCATGCACTGAATTCTTTAACGGATTTCATCAGGTCAGCAAGAGTGGGATTACTGATAGTAGTGCGTGTAGGTCTATTCTCACTATTCGAAGTTTCCGCTTTACGTTGAGGGGGCGGGGGGGTCGCCCCCTCCTCCATTTGTTCCAGAGGTGTTTCAGGCATAATTTTGTAGGGGGGTATTTACTGGTTGTTGTTCTGAGCTCTTAAATTTACAAAGCTCCTCTTTAAGCATGTGGTTTTCCTTGCTTAAAGCATTCATTTTCTGATTGCATTGGCTAAGCATTTGTTTGAGTTGAACTATCTGTTACTTTAACTTTTTCGATGAGTTTTGAGATGCGGCTTCCTCAGACTTATGCTGCGTTCCCGCGACCACGTCTGCCTACCTCAATTCGTGTGGTCCTGGTGTTCGGCTTTGTGATCTGGATCCGGACCTTGAATAGGTGTGGGATTTGGGCCAGCCCCGGCCTCCTTGTGGTCGAGGAGGAAGAGTGTCCTGCTTGTTTGCATCGTTGCTGCTGGCTGTAGGCTTGGGCGAAACTTGTTGTTGGTGCTCCCAGCGGCGACGGGTCACGATGTGAGGGGTCTTGTAGCGTGTCCTGCAGGTCCTGTCGGCCGTCTCGTGGTTGCTTCCGCAGAGTTGGCATGTGGGTGTACACTGGTGGTCCTCCGGGGAGCTCGGCACCCCGCATCCTCGACATATACGATCTTGGGAATTCGGACACACATCCACGCGGTGTCCCAGTATGCCGCAGTGATAACATGTATCGGCTTGTTTCTGGTATAGGGTGCATCGCAGTAGAGGTCCACTGTAGCGAACTTTTGTCGGTACCCTGAATCTCTCGAACAGCACGATCACTGCCGTTGTGTTACTCAGCCTTTTAGCAGCCAATGACATGGGATTTCTGGGGGTGACAACACTGGCTGCGATGTCGCGGGCGCTATCTTTCAGGGGGATGCCGCGTATTACGCCTTTGGAAATATAGTCCGGCGCCGCCTCGTAGGCACTGGTCTCATACGTGTTCTTGCCGACCGTGATGCGGGTTATACATTGATATTTATGAGCATGTGCATCGATGTACTCGGTGTACTCACGGCGATGATATTTTGTTGTAGATTAGGGCAGACCATGCTCTCATCTTGAGCTTCTTTCAGGATTGCTGCTGCTTGGTAGACGCTGGTCGCTATGCGCACAGCTCCGTGATCAGCGATGCGGAGGCTCCCTCTTGGACGTATAATTATCTTGTAGTCGTCTCGACGTAAATGTGGCATGCGACTTGCTTTGATGAGTTGTCGTAGGCGCTGCTCGCCTTGTTTTTTGTTGTAATTGCCATCTCCAGACTCCACGCGGGAAGTCATCGCTTGCCTGCTATTTGACTTCCGTGAGCCTACTGTCCACCACCCTTCATTTTTTTCGAGATCATCACTGGAGACCTCTTCACCATCCACGGTGACTTCCATCTTGTTAGAAAAGTGAGGCGTTTCAGGCGCGTCGACCGGTGCTTCCTTGCTAGCACCTATCTGTTCAGCAGCGTTCGTGGCAGCGGCATCGGCGGCAGCCGTGCATTTCTGGAGTTTTGTATACAGAATATTTAACATTTTTCAAAAGTGGGTGTTGGGTGTTGATTGTAATCATTCATTTTGTGAGAGTAGTCGCGTAACGTTATGGTTTATGAACTGTTGGACACTAAGCAGTTTAGTGCAGTGTAGCATGATGTTGGTGCTTGTAAGTGTGTTGTAACGACCAGTGCGAGTTGAACGTCAAGAGAGTAGAAGACAGGAGAATACAAAAAAAATACAGATGAAGATTAGGGCAACAAAAATACGCTGGCAAGGAGCCATTTTTCAAGAAAAAAACTCCTGAAAGGGGGGGCGTATGTCACAAGCAAAAGCCCGTAGGAAGGAAAAAGACAATTAGGAGCTGACAACATTCAAAATGGCATGAGCGCGCACAACGCACAGCGAGGCCCAAAGGGCGTGACCCCAGCTGCGAGTGGTGCACGAGCAGTGACGAGCTTGCATTTTTGACGTGGGCTTCGCAAGAGAAGGACGCAATGCCAGCTAGCGTACTGGTGACAGGAACGGCAGGACAGCGACCTGGCAACATATGACGCGGGCGTTCCAAGAAAAAGACGAAGACCTCGACAAGCTTCGAGGAAGGCTACTCGAAATGCAGTTGCCGCGCACAGCAAGACCAACATATCTTTGAAAGGATGCTGTTGTGTCTCAACTGTGAAAAAATATTCCATTGATCTCCTCGGTGCACCACACATCCGTACTAATGCGTGGAACTCACTTAAGCAGGATACCATTGCCAATTGCTTTAGGAAGTGTGGTTTTGTTGAACCCGTGGCTAATGGTGATGAAGTGGCACTGCAGATTTCTTCGGACCATTTAATATGCGCTCCTGACAACTTCAGCAGTGTTCTACTGGATGGCGTGACATTTGAAAGTTACGTGCAGGTGAACAGCAGTGTTCAGACTTGAGGCATCATCACTGAGGCTGAAGTAAATGAATCTGCGTGCCCTCAAGTGGCGACATCTAATGACCCTTCCGCCCTCAGTGCCGAAAATTCAGATGAAAGCAATGAGGTGCCCCCCCCTTCACCTAGTGATACTGAAGCATTGTTTGCGCTGGACATAGCCGCGCACTACTTCTCTTGCCAGGAGAATGCTGAAGCCGAAGTAGAAATGATTTGCGAATTGCGTGCGAAAATGAATGACTCGCTGCAAGGCAAATGTGCGCAGATGCGCATCACTGAATATTTCAGTCAAAGATGGGTGTCCTGTGATTTGTGAATAAATGTAAGTCTTCTGAAACTTCTTCCTCATGTGTTAACTCAATGCACATGCGTCACTGCAGATGAGCCCTCCGTTCACTTAGCTTTCATTATTTAGAAGTTCTTTTAGTTCGAACAAATTTTGAGACCCCTTTCACTTTGAATTATCGAGATTCGACTGTATTAATGTGAGAACTGTCTTGGTGCTGCTCAGTTCAGAAGTTTCAGACCAATTTTGGATGGTCCAGAGTGCTGTTCACGCTGCACGGGAACAACAGCTCCTAGCAGCCAATTTAATTTAATAATATGTGGCCCAATCTAAGCAAGTATGCCTTCCCGTCCCCAAGAAAAAGAAAGACTTTATTCCAAGCTGATCAAGAGAAGTGGCTGAAAAACAATGCTAACACTTTTACTCTTTATAATCAGACTAAGCTTTTTGCTGCAGTGCAGCGGCCGCATAGTGTCCCTGCACTTACAGTAACGGCACTCGCTCAATTTCAACTTGCAGTGCAATTTCGTTTAAAACTGCTGGTGGTGATTGGCGTCTTTTGTAATAATGCTGTTGAATACATTAAGCATGTATCAGAAGAACTAGCCTGGTGATACTGCTGGGCAAAATGGAAATGATCCTCGCGATGACATGCACCCCCCACCCCCCCACCCTTGCAGAGTTAAGATATAAACGGAAGTTGGATAATACGGACCCATTTTACTGGATTATTATGGTCTATTGTAACCAGAGTAGGCTGCATTTGAAATTAGCACAGGAATATATACAACTCAGTGTGTTTCATCTAATATAAAAAAGAGTTTAAAAGAATGTATATAAGCAGATTGTGCTCTCTGAATTCTGCAGCATGTTAAATTAGCGTGCTATAATAGTATCATACTGCTAGTGTCCTTACCATAGAAAAAGTGCAAAATAAATGCCCGTTTTTTGGTCACACGACCAATCTTTCTTTTTTGAGTGCAAGTGTTTAAATAGATGGACCACTTTTAGTATACAGTAATGGCACAGGATTACTGTAAATTCATATTGGACTGCCTAATAGTAAAAATGACAGCACTGTTATCCATCACCAAAGATGACACTTACATTTGCTGCCTTGAAGACTGCTAGCTGTAACATTGGTGTGTTCAGGATTTTCCATCTTCCCTGGAACTTTAGCAACAGCTACATGACATTTAAGTTGGCTTTTAAGGCTTTTAGAAAGCATTACATTCAATGTGGCAGTTAAACCAATCACGTAAACCTGCAATGACAACAGCAATGACTACAGCAGTTTGGTGCAGCACTTTTATCAGTGTCTGATAGGATGAATACACTGATGCTTCTACAGATCACACTAAAATTTTCATAGCTTGTAGCCATTTCTTTGCTAAAGCATTAGCATAACTTTCTTAGCCAGGTATAAAGAGGGAAAAAAGACTGCCCTCACGAAATGTGGCACAAACACAGATTGGTACCACATAGGTGCCTCCAAGCATACAAAGCCATGCAGAAGGAGCTCCTCATGTTACCTGAATCCTTTGAACTTTGAGCAATACTAGCGACTGATGACTTGACTGCCGATATTGCAGCCAAAAGGCGGGATGGTAGGTTCGCTGCAGCGGCCCATAAAATGGCTTTGTCATCTGCATTTTCTCAAAGTCCACCTGTGAAAAAAAAAAACAGGGTTATGATAGCATACGGAACAACAAATTTTCTGCTATTGGTCATATGCACACAACTTTAAATAAGCATTAATTAGTGTTACCACCATAGCCCATTTGTTTGAACTGGAATGCTACCCCACTGTTCCTCACCAGTATGTTGTTATGATTGGCTTTCACGGCTTGGTGCTGCGCATGGATGCAGGGAATATTTTTGGCAAACTCTGCCCTGCATTATTCCGGATACACTCTCCCAAGTGCACCTGAAGAGGCGACAATGCGAAAGTCGTGCTCTGAACCCTTCAGGGATGTCGGCCCACTTCGTCAAACCCCTGAGAACACATTTGAACGGCTTTGGCGGTTCTATAGCCTAAGAAGAGCTGTTTGCAGTTAAGGCTGCTTTCTTTGTTCAACGTGCTACAAGATGCACAAAACAATATACCTCTCTCTGTTTCCAAACAGAGTGACATCACTGCAAGCAGCCCACCCACCATTCCCTCCCTCGATTCAGAAGCTAGTTGGCAAGAAAGTTCTGCCGACGGGACCTTTCCGCATAGCAGGCCGGTGCGTGTCTGCAATCTTTCGACAGAAATTTCTGCGAATTGTTGTTTTTCTAAATCCACCTAGAGGAAGAATAACTGCCTATAATGCAAGATTCTGTTAGGTTAACTTGAGGTGATTTGCTCGTCGCAAATGGCAACCATTAGAAAGAAAACTTTTTTGCTCTTCAAAAGCCAACATTCTACATGTTGATGGTGACGGGTGCTTTGAGAAATAATAACATGGCATAGATGTAAATGTACTCGATTTCCGTCACGACATATTCACTGAAGTTTCAAACGAAATGTGACATTGGTAGCAGCATCGTTTTGAGCTGTCATGCATGAGGTCACGAACAAGATACTCACTCAGTGCACAAAATTTTTATTAAGATGAAAAAATAAAAAAAATGAGGAAACACTTCTTGCCATGCATTAGGCTGAGGTTAATTAATACTCGTGAAAATTATGCAAAGTTCTCGACATCAACAGCGTTCCTCATAGCCCACTGATAACTCATGCAATTTTAAACCCGACAACTTATGTATATTCATAATTTCTTGCGCAATTATCTTGCTATGCCTGATGCCTTCAATCTATTTGCATATTCACATTGCTTCTTTAGACCTGATACACAAACTTTTAGTGAGCGTTGTCTCTTTGTAAAGATAGATCCGTGAAGTAGATGTGAAACAAGAATCTGCGCTGCTTACATGTTATATCTTTATTGGGTTTGTTTATGCATCACGGTGAAGTGTATATTCAACTTCAGCAATGCTAAACAAGCTTGTAGTTCAAGGGTAGTCGTATCTTTCAGACCGGAGATCATGCAATTTTTTTTAACACGATAGTGTTAGAGAGCTCGTGTCGCATAAACTCGGCTGTCGGCGTTGACACCCTTGGTTGTGAGTGAAAAATCTTCCACGAGCGAAAAATTGAGAAAGAAGCAAATAAAATAAAGAATAAAATTTTTGGTCCAATTGAGGATCAAATTCGGGTCGTTCACGTGGCAAGCAGGTGTTCTACCGCAAATCCACGAAATTACTTGCAGGTGCTTCGGAAAAAAACACCACATAAACGCCATGTAGTGAAAAGAGTCTCCTTAACGCATTTTGTTCGACAGGCGTCACGATGAAAACCAGCCCATTCGGGGATTTGTACGTGCATTAGGAAGGCCATCAAACTACGTCAAAAAAGGCCAGAATAGTGCAGCCATTGCCGCAAAAAATACACAGGGACTTTCAAACAGCTTTAAAAATGAACAACTATGTCCATCTAGCGGAAAACATATCATGTGTTTCCAGAGGTGTTGATCAAGCAAATAGCAAATGCTAGACAATGTGCTGCCATCTGTGATGCATTGTGAGACTTTTTATAATGGCGAGCGCACGGCGCATATCTTGAATGCCATGTGACTCTTACTTTCGATCAAAAATTTGTATGTACCATTCGCACGTGCCCGCTGGTACAATATACTGTGTGCGTGTGTGTGAGTGTAACAAAACATATTAATAAGTATGCACTTAGCGGTTGAAGAGCGCAATAGGGGCTGCATTTCGCTATCGTGTTCAACTATTAAAGGCGAAGCCTAAAGGTCCCCCCAACTTTTTCCACACTCAGCGTAAACGCTGCGATGTACCACTCACAGATGATTGCGTCGAATGCATTTTTACCTTCACTAAATGTCAAGTCATAAAGTTCCGCTGTCAACCAGTTACTGTCACCCCACCACAAGTGCCAATGTTTTCACAAACAAGAGGCATTGTTTTTTACACTGCATGCACCCCTCACACAGAATATTCTCAGTTTCACCATCCGTAAAAGAGAACCAATATTGTCGATGCCTTTAAAAACAAATACATGAAACAATAAACACTGCACATTTTTGAAGACGATGCTGCTGTTCCTTGCACAGGCCACCCCGTTTGTTCGCTTCTCCAAGATAAACAGCCGGCCAATGTGGCAAATTTTTTGTCATGGAGTTTACCGCATACCTAGATGTTCTCCGACACATACCACAGCTAATTATATTATGGCCGCTCCAGGGAGAAGTGCTCTATTCACACAGTCCCTTGGCGTTGAAACTGCATCGATACTTGCCGAGATAGCAAGTGCACCAGCGATCACCACCTTAAAATCGAATTTCATTGTTGATACTCAAGGAATTCCCACCCCCCCTCCCTTTGTTGTTTCATGCTCGTTTAAGATGGGTGGTTTACGTTCTGTTTGAGCATTTGAAGGCAGTTCTAACACACGAAAGATGTTATCTTATGCACTTTCCAGGCATTAACTAATAGGTATGGGCCGACTCATTTGATCTCAGTTTCAGCAGCGCACGCGTGCTTTTACCCGCTCGTGAAAGTTATGATGCGCACGAGCACGTTATCAATTTGGACTAGTTACGGAACATGGCGGCCAAGGCAAAAACTCGCTGACAGTGTCCATATAATTTCTATAGCAATAATAATGGAGTTTTTGACTGTAAAATAATTGCTTTAGGTTAGCTCTGCCTTCACTCATCTTTCCTTTAATTTGCGCATTTATTTTCCGACGGTTTGTATTGAACCTGCATATAACGAACATCCTTTTATAATGAATTTTTCCGGGAATTCATCGATTTCGTTATATCCAGGTTTAACTGTAAAGGAACCAAAGCTGAAGTTTGCGGAGCGACGGCAACGCCACACCTGACTTTGGCGGTAAGCTCCGGGGAATTTAAGGATAGGCGCGGCAGAAGGCTGTTGCGACTTTGGGTCCTGCGGGTCTCAGTTTGGTAGCGGGCCCCCGTCCTAGGACCCATTGTCGAACAAGATAGATGAGGCAAGAACGACAACAATTTATTTACATGGTTAGTAACTGAGAATTTGAAAAGAGGTTATCAAGTGATCAAGAAGTCAAGAATTGTACATCTGAACGGTTGAACTGTAGAACTTAAAATATACAATAGTCTTTCGCTTATATAGCACCACGTCACCAACCCTGGGTGCATTGTCCGCGGCTTCAGCCAATACGGCACTCGACGGTATAGATGCTCTACCCACGAAGGCGGGGAAAGGCACCACACAATGCACGTGGAGAGGGCCTACACGATGCCTAAATATGGTTACAAACACACAGCGCTGACGTTTCGCACACGTCACCAAGATTTCCCGCACGTCCGATGGTCTTAGATGACCTTGGTTGCCAAGAACTCTTGTGGCAGTTGGGTGAGGTTCGAAAAACCGGCTCTCGGAACACGCGCCAAACTTGCCTGACTGCGTTCGGGTAGAACAATGTAGTGATCTGCCAGCTTATCGTCAAAATATGCTACCCCATTCAGCCGATCCTATAGACAAAAAGGGAAGGAGGAGTGGTCGACTAATCCCTCATCGTCAAGGCAGGCTCCCGCAAGGGCTGAAGCAGATAGCGCTTTTTCCTTCAACCCACATTCCATTCCTCGTTGTTTGCTAGAAGGTGCGGCTCAGCTACGAATTTCTAGGGCTCCGCTTCTCCTCGCAAGGTGCAGCCACAACCATTTTCGATTTAGCTTTCTGCGCAAACTGCAAATACCATGCTGGTTCCGGTCTTTCCAGATCCTCGGTGACCTCGAAAATGGCCCCGCTGCTTCCTTGTTTGCCTCAAAAGCCTTGCATAAAGTCCAGCTCACAATAGCCTTGTTTGGCTTGTGCATTTTCTTTGCGCGTACTGGTCCTGGACCTCTTGTTTACGTTTTGCTGACAGGAAACCAACCCGTCTTGACGGAACACCCTTGCTAGGAATGTGTCGAAATATTTCTGTCTCGTCCACAAAGGCCGAAAGACTTTACTAATGATAAAGGTCATAACAAGGCACAGGCAATCCAGTACATTTTGTCGAAGCTGGAGCTTGTGTTACACGCACAGAACGCGTTCTGCAGTTGGTCCGAGGAACTTTGGCAACATGCCAGCAGCTTTGCGCACTAAAACTAGATGCTCGCTGCCCAAAGTTGCCTTTCTGGGATGGAAGAAACCAAGAAACACGAAACGTCGTAAAAATTTCTCAAAAAGACTAGAAAGGTATGCGGACATGTAGGTATATTATGTGACGCTGAATAAATGTTTTTCACAGGAAGCTTCACACGAAGCTTTTTAGAAGATTAAAAGAAGTCTTCTTCAAAACCTTTACTAAATGTTATTTTCTAGAACTTTTGGTAGAATTTGCTGATGAAGTCTCGATTGTCCATGCCAGATATGCAGGTTGTTTTTTACAATTATTCTTCATTAAGCCAAATAATATTTGCTTTGCATAATTATATAGTATGTATTTTTACATATTTTTCACATATTTAAATATAATAACAAAGCCCTCTATTCAGCATTAAAAAATTATGATGCGCAATTGCGGTGTGGGTCTGCACGTCTAGAATAACTTTACTTGTTTGGACGTGTTACCCGCCGCTCAATTACCTCTCGAAGGATCAGGTTTGAGTAGATTTCTCTCGAGTTTTAAGTATGCTTGCACTTTGTTCGTGTTACGTGTTCTGCCAGTGCTGCTGATTACGAAGATATACTATACTCAAAAGAGGACGCGTGGCTCCGTATAGTGGAGCACTCGCCAGGTATGTACCACATTGCTATTGTTGCGGCTTTTTTATCACAGTGTTCACCCCGTTTTTCTTACTATGTGCACGATAAGTGAGCTTTTGTTCACGTGGCGACCCAGTTTTTCTGTAGTATTTCAGCAGTGCAAAGGCAAAGTTGCGTGAAGTTAAGGGCAGACAAGGTTTTTCTGTTGTGTGGAGTATGAAGCCTGCACGGTCAGCGGAAATTCAGCGGCAGATTTGAGCGAAGTTGTGGCAGCGGCCTCCTCTGTCAGCAGTGGTGTTGAAGGGGGGCCCTGCTCATGAGTGACCACTATTTTGTTTAATGATTCTGGGGCATTTGTTAGCTGTAGGCATTGACCATGCCTAGGGCGCGTAAGCCTGTCTAAGGCATTTTCATCGGCAGTTCCATTTTAAACAGCTACAGTATTGTTATCTGTTATGACCCCAATCAGAGACGTTTTCTTCTTGCAAGTGACCGAATGTATGGCGGTGCAGCATCCGCGCCGGCACGCGTCTTCATAAGCTACCGTGCTATTCGAGTTAACGCGTGTCCACATGCAGCCTGTTGCATCGTCTTAGGTAGGGCTCGCAAAAGTTGCCATACGCTTAGGTGTTCATGCAGCTCGCTTAGTAAAATTCGAACTTACGGTATACACCAGCAACATAGGTTGCCTCATGTGACCTGAATTCATGCATTTTAAGCCATTAGTTTACCTTGAACCGTATTTTCAAATGAATACTTTATGGCTGAATGGGGCCGAATCGCTGTGCCTTACTGTGCGAGCACTAATTCAGTCATTAGTCCACGCGTTCAAGCACCATCAATCTTACTCTGCTTGTTTTCACTATGTTTGGATTTTGTTTTGGTTTATTAAATATTCTATGCACCTTGCCCAACCTAGGTGTTGAAACTTGGCTAAACACTTTTACGCGTACGAACATTGCGAATAGTTTAGAGCACTACCTCAAATGACATTTTCTGTTTGATGACAAACTTAACAGTATATTAGATAAAGTAAACTCTCAAGGCATGCGCTACAGATGTTAACAGTATCAGTGGTATGTGCAAAATGAATACCTTATTTATCACTCGAAACTCGCGATAATGTTATAAATCACGATAAGCATAAGGCATGCATATATTGCTGTTAAAATGTAAAATTGGATACCGCATTTATTTGATAATATTAAATATAGGCTGCAATTCTTCAAGCTATCGGCATTGAAGGATTTATACAAATTTGGAAATCAGTTTCATCAAATCTTAATGCTAAATCACAGTCAATAGCTTCCAAGATTCTGGTTTCCGGGGATTGTTGCAAAAGTTTGCATGCTTTATTGGGATGATGTGTGGTTCAAGGTGGGTGCCTCGTGTCTTAGTATTTCCACGTTTTTTTTTTTTTTCATTAGGCAACCTGTGATGCTTAAGTGAGGGGTACTGCCTTTTTAGCCAACAAAAATAATGTAAACTGATGACCATAATTTGCCAGCACACAATAGTAATTTAGTGACACCAATTTCTGAAATTATAGGTATAATTGTCCCTGCGTGAACAGCCTGAAAAAAGCTACATTAGTTGTATTTGAAATCAAATTCATGTTTAATATTAAGTGTTACCTACAATGAATACTTAATGAATGTACTACCATTGTAGGACCGCGGTAAGAATCGGTAGCGCGGCAATTTTTGTTTGCTTTTATTTGCTTTGCGGCGTAAGCTTGGGACGGCATGTCAGCCTCGGGCAGCCAGCGTTGCTTGAGCGACAAGTGGTCGAAGCGCGACTAACCGATTTTGCCGCGAGCGCAGACACACAGCGCCAGCATATTACCCTGCTTTATTCAACGCCAGAGATGGTCGAGCATTTCGAGTTACCATTAACTCTAGGAAAAGAGAACCAACCGGGGAAAAAAAAGGGGCGAGATTATAAACGTCATTGTGACGGCCCCCTAATTGCCTCTCGAAACTGGCAGTCGGCCCATCAACGGGCGTCTTCCGAGACCCTGCGCACCGCGGTGACTCCTCGCATCGGTTCGGCGTATGGCCCGGCCACGTGCTGTTTGCGCGCCTGCAGAATCGGCGGCGCGCGTTGCGAAAACTCTGAAGTCA